GGAGCTTGAACTCATGACCGCAAAATCAAGAGTTGCATGCTCTACAGACTGACCCAGCGAGGAGCCCCAATTGGTCATTTCCTTAGTGCAGTTTATTATATTTCCTTTTTTAAAAAATAGCATTTTAAAATGGAATTATACAATTACTTCACTAAGGCATACCCTTCAGTGGTTTTTATTATATGCACTGTGTTGTACAACGACAGATAATCACTATCTAATCCCAGAACATTTCCATTACCCAAAAAAAGGAATCCAGGCCTATTAGCAGGTAGGCCCAATTCTTCCTTCCCCATCCCCTGACTACCACATCTATTTTCTGTCTCAATGGATTTGCCTTTTCTGGACATTTCATGTAAATGGACTCATATAATATGTGGCCTTTTGTGTCTGGCTTCTTTCACTTTGTGTGGTGTTTTCAAGATTCGTCTATGCTATAGCATGGGATGGTCCTTCATTCCTTCTTATGACAGAATAATATTCCATTATAAGGGTATGCCACATTTTGTTTATCCACTCATCACCTAATTGGATATTTGGGTTGTTTCCAATTTGAGCTCAATATGAATAATGCTGCCATGAACATTCGTATACAAATTTTTGTGCAAACAGATTTTATCAATTCTCTTGGGTGGAATCAGTGGCTCATTTGCTAATTCTATGTTTAGCTTTCTGAGGAACTGCCGAACTGTTTTCCTCAGAGGCTGCACAATTTTACTTTCCCACCAGCAATGTATGAAGATTTAAACTTCTCTATGACCTTCTCAACCCTCTTTATTGTCTTTTTTAAAAAATTTAGAGCCATCCTACTGGGTGTAAAGTGCCATCTCATGGTGGTTTTGATTTGTATTTTCCTAGGGGCTAGTGGTGTTGACTGTCTTTCCATGTGCTTGTTGGTCATGTAACACATATATATAAATATACGTATTTATTAAGCATAGTTATATATCTCACCAAGCATGAAACTTGGCATTTAGTTGTTGACAATTAATATTACTTCCCTAGTCTTTGTGGAATGCATATGGATCCTACCAAGACCTACCTTAGATGACAGCTTCTCCTTAGAGATTTCCTTCTTGAGTTTTCTCCTTTGATGCTACAGATTCTTGTGCACACCTTAGCTGGTTCTAAGGAAACTGTGAAGTGTTTGTTGGTATGTTTGGCTTCCCTCATTAGGCTGTGAGCTCCTTGCCAATGACTAGAGGTGAGAGAACAGTGCTTGTTTCAGGAATGGCCAGAGCTCCTGTGACCTCAGGCAGCACCCAGGGCAAAGGCAATGGAAGAAATTGGAGAGAGAGCTTGGAACCGAGTCAGGAAAGCCTTGGAGGACAAAAGAAGCCGTATTTGGCGCCCAGAGGAGGACTTTAAGCAGGGCAGTCATATGATATGATCTGAAGTTCAGAAAGATCATTTTTGTCTGTGTAATTGGGTAAGACCTGTACCTTCTCTGGATCTTAGTTTCATTAGCAATAAAAAGGGAGAGCTGAACTAGATAATTTCTGTGTTTTGTTTTGTTTTTTTTCTAGTTCTGAAATGATGTACCATGAATCTCAACTATCTGGACTCCTCAGGGAATGAACTGTGTTGGATAATAACATTTTCTGAAAATTTAATCTGTGCTAACACTTAAAAAATAGTAGCCATTTTTTATTTTATTTTTTTAATTTTATTATGTTATGTTAGTCACCATACATTATATCATTAGTTTTTGATGTGGTGATCCACGATCCATTGCTTTCGTATAACACCCAGTGCTCCATGTAATACGTGCCCTCCTTAATACCCATCACCGGGCTAACCCATCCCCCCAGCCCCCTCCCCTCTAACACCCTGTTTCTCAGAGTCCATAGTCTCTCATGGTTCATCTCCCCCTCTGATTCCCCCCCCCTTCATTTTTCCCTTCCTTCTCCTAATGTCCTCCATGCTATTCCTTATGTTCCACAAATAAGTGAAACCATATGATAATTGACTTTCTCTGCATGACTTATCTCACTTAGCATAATCTCCTCCAGTCCCATCCATGTTGATGCAAAAGTTGGGTATTCATCCTTTCTGATGGCTGAGTAATATTCCATTGTGTATATGGACCAATCTTCTTTATCCATTCATCTGTTCTCCTTCCACAGTTTGGCTATTGTGGACATTGCTGCTATGAACATTGGGGTGTATATGGCTCTTCTTTTCACTACATCTGTGTCTTTGGGGTAAATAGTCAGTGGTGCAATTGCTGGGTCATAGGGTAGCTCTATTTTTAAATTTTTGAGGCACCTCCACAGTGTTTTCCAAAGTGGCTGTACCAACTTGCATTCCCACCAACAGTGTACGAGGGTTCCCCTTTCTCCACAACCTCTCCAACATTTGTTGTTTTTTTCCCTGTCCATTTTTGCCATTCTAACTGGTGTAAGGTGGTATCTCAATGTGGTTTTGATTTGAATTTCCCTGATGAATCGTGGCCATTTTTAGATGAAAAACTCATGAAGATTAATTGCATACTTCCCTGACTTCTTAAATATAATATCATGATTCAATTTTCATCTTTCCTTGATGGCTTAAATAATAGTAGCTCTACAGTGGCTTAAATAACTCTGTGGATCAAGAAAGAGCACTGGTTGCCTACAAGGAAGCTCTCCAGCCCTACTGAGTTCAGTCAGTGTATGTGTTTTACCATTACATTGAAATTAAAGTAAATTTTGCTTTGGTTTCAGCCTGTCAGCATCCTCTGAGAGCAGGCATGATTCTCTTACTGAGTAAAGTGAACCGTTTTGCAGAATTCAAAAGCATAGATTGGAGCAGAGTGACGGACAGTTGCTATGACTTCACTAATATGTATCATTATACTTGTTTTTGGTATACTGTAGGTAACAGGATCAACTCTAGGCCAATTTCAAGGGTAAATGTGTAATGCACACACAACTCCTGGGTATTGTAGGTCATCGTGTACAATAATAACTCAGAGATGTTGTTACTTTCCAAGAACATTTACTCACATGTAAAGAAAATAGACATTAGATTGTGGTCAAGGAACAAAGACAAAAACTGGGATTTATAAAAGAGAGAGGAGAGAGAAGTGAGAAAAAAATCTGCAAACAGTATGGGAACCGTTGTTCTGGTTTGCAGATTTGGGGCATGAGTGCTTAGCTGGCAGCAAACAGATTAATCAGTTTGGGTATTTCTGTTCTTGAGTAGGCGGACTTAGGATATCAAAGGAAACCATTTCAGCTGTTGATGGGATCTTCGGAAAAGCTGGAGGGGGCAGCTGTGGGGTGCTGGTTACAGGCTGTCTCTGTGTCTTACGGAGGGCTGCTCAAGTTCCTCCATAAGAAACACCATCTAACTTAGGCCAGGTGTGCACACGTGTCCTCAGAATTTCTCATTAGCAAGCCTCTTTCTCTGTCTTCTTTTGAACTCTCGCTTTGGAAGTTTTGTTGTTGTTCTTCAAGGGTTTACTATTATCCTGGCTTCTGGATTTTAGCCATAGCCGGAAAACTTGTTTATTTAGATGGCGGTCCGATGACTGTCCTATGATGAGATTTTCTTTCTTTTTTTTTTTTTTTTTTTAAAGATTTTATTTATTTGACAGAGAGAGACAGCAAGAGAGGGAACACAACCAGGGGGAGTGGGAGAGGGAGAAGAAGGCTTCCTGCCGAGCAGGGAGCCTGGTGCAGGGCTCGATCCCAAGACCCTGGGATCACGACCTGAGCCAAAGGCAGACGCTTAACGACTGAGCCACCCAGGCGCCCCTAATGATGTGATTTTCTATAAATGACATTTTCTCCTGTTCCACTCGTGTCCCCTGATTTTCCTGGTTATGTGCTCGTGATACCTTCTACACTCCTGTATAAAGCTCTTCTGATTGGATAGGTCAGATTATACTTCATATGATACCATTGCTTCAATAAATAATCATCATCACATTTTAGGGGCACGTTGGAAAGGCTGTTATAAACAAAAAGTCCATTGGAGTAAGCTGGGAGCTGGAAGTATAGTCATTTTTCATTGGCTGAGTTGTGACCGTCTCTCATTGGCTGGGCTGTTGCTAGGGCAAGAGGAAAGTTTTAATCCCGCTGGGATAGGAAAGTAGTATCCACATGCAAGGTGGGGCTCTTTCTGTTTGGTCTGCGGTTCGCAACCAGTGGTAGGGCTGATAGGATGTGAGAGCTTACCCCTGCTGGCATTCTGAATACATTCTAAATGAGGTTTCCTTTTATTAATTTTCACGCTGCCAAGAGGATGTTTTATGCTTTTTGGGAGTTCCTGGATATGTTCATGGAGATGAGATGGCTGGACAGTTGAGTGTCTGATTGGTGAATTGTTTCACAGTGTTCCTCGATGCAAGGAATATTTCAGTCCATGTAGTCCTTTGCCTTGTCTCTCGGACAAGTCAGTTTCTCAGCTCTAACACACGGCTCTCCATCTTTTTTCAGCTCTTACATACCTGAGGACAGGTACCTTCCCATCAGCTACAGTAATTACTATGACAGGGATGGGATGTGTGTGGGGTAGCAGCACCCTAGGATCATATCACAGTCAGAAGGAGCACTGAGAGTTTCAAAAAGCCCCTAGGTATATGTGTGCTGTTGCTCCTTAAAAAAAAAAAAAAAAAAAAAAAAAAAAAATATATATATATATTTCTCCAGTCCTGTGAGCTTAGCTTTGTTTGTTAATACAGTAAGGGAGAAGCAGATAATTTTGCTACCTGTCTAGGTTCAAGGGGAGGACTAAATTAACAGAGAACATTCAACTTACTGTACAGTTTTAAAAGAAAACTTTTTATCATTATAGGTTTTGAAGTTTAAGGTGCTCCATGGGAGGAAAAAGCCGATAACATGAGCGCGGAAGAAGGCGGTCCCACCCCTCGGAAAGAAGCAGCTCCTCCCTCTTCAGGAGAGGCAGCCCCCCCTGGGCCAGAAGAGACTGCCCCCCCGGATCCAGGAGAAGAGGCTCCTCCTCCTTCAGATGAAGGGGCTCCGCCCCCTGTCACAGAGGCGGCCTCAGCTCTAGATGCCAACTCTCTTTTCGAAACAGGTCCTGCTCCTTCTGGAAGTGATTATCTGAATTTCATTGCTTCCGATGAAAGGATAATTCTTCCAGAGGACGATGAGCTGGATGCACACAGAGTTCGACCTAGGCCTACACTCCGACTGGGTCAAGCCGTGCTTTCTGAAATGCTTTCTCAGTCTTCCTGTAGATCATCCCGATACCGCCGAAGCATGAGCAGTATTCCAAATCTACAGGAAACGTTAAAAGAGAGACAGGTTTTTCTTATAATAAGATTCTTCATGTGCGACACTTTTATGTCAAGTTAAATGTTTTTGGTGGTTTTTCTTTATAATTACAATTTTTACCTGTGCTTTTTATTCTTTAGGCAAGATTTAGAGATTCAAGGGAAAACCGAAAAATGAAAATTGACCCTTCATACAAATATATATTTGAAATTCTAGCAGAAAAGCTTGGCCTGGACTTAGTAACCATTGAAGAATTAATTTTGGATTGTCCTTCTGTAAGTTTCAATCTTATCGTTATTTTTTAATTGCTCTTTGAGAGCTGATTGCTTTAAGAAGCTGGAGTCATTGTCATGCACAACAAAACACTTCGAAAGGGGAGGTTGAAATTTTACCCATTAAGAAGTTTTATAGAACTATAGCCAGTTGAATCATATTTCTAGTTAGGTGTACTGTTGAAGAGGAAGGAAAGGGAAGAGTTAGCTACTAGAATTTGGCTAAAATTCAAAATGCCTTTAGAGGTTAGAGGTATAGTCGAGCACAGGTAGAGTTAAATATTCTAAAAGTACAGGTTATATGAACTACATATGCAAATCATTTGGGTAGATGAACAAACTGCATACATATGAGCTAGGGAACAATGACTTTTGCATGAGCATGGTAGAAAACAACAAGATGATTACCGTGTGTCTCAGCATGCCAGGGACAGTCCTAGATTATGCCTACTTTCCTGGCATAATCATTAATGGCCCCTCCTTTACTCCTAAAAGGTCCCAGTTTTGGCTAATGAATGTCTATGGTCACCCTCATTAGCGTAATACAGATAAGCTGTGACTTTCATAGAAGCTTCCAGAAGCAGTATCACAGCTTCCTTTCTGATAGCTCAGCTTCTAAATTAACTTTCAAAAATAGTACTACAGTTTGCTTGAGCTTTTTACCAACCCTAGTTGTGGACTGGCCTGGAGCCCAGCAAGACCAAGGAACAGGTACATACTGGTGGTGCACTGATTGTCCCATTGAATGTATGGTGAGAGCGTTGGGTAGGGGGCAGTGTTGTGGTGAGGTTGTCATTAGTGGGGTCTGTAGCCCCTGCTTTTACAGGGACCAGTGAACTTGGGCAAAACTCTGTTGGCTGCCTCTAGGAGCCCAGATTTTGTGGGATGGTTCCTAAAGGAGTCTCTCTCTTGCTTGATGTGATGTGTTGCCAAGTTCTGGAAAGTTGTCTGCCTTTATTGTCAGGATCCTTATAAAAGTTGAGAACTGGCAGTCCTCTGATAGTATGAGTGGGATTGCTCATTCCTTAGTGTGTTATGGTAATCTGGGAATGTGATCGATGCAAAGAGATAAATGACAGCTATTTTAATGGTGAAAGATAGGAAAATGCATGAATCGTGCACATAAAACAAGAGGCGCCGCTGCAACCAACTGGAAATAGAGCGTAGTTTCTCAGGTCACCACAATTCCCTGCAGGAATGTACAGGTGTGGTCAAGGGTGGCTGCCTGGGCATGTGGACTGTGGATCAGATAGATCCCTGTGCAGAAGGGCCCTTCACTTGGTTTAATGGTTTCCTGTCACCACCTGGAATTTCTTCAAAAAAAATTTTTTTTAAGTTTTCTAATTCCAGTATAGTTAACATAGAGTGTTATATTAGTTTCGGGTGAACAAAATAGTGATTCAACAGTTCTGTACATCACCTGGTGCTCATCATGGTAAGTGTAGTCTTCAACCCCCATTACCTATTTCACCCATCCCCCTACCCACCTCCCCTCTGGTAACCACCAGTTTGTTCTCTATAGTTAAGGGTCTGTTACTTTGTCTGTCTCTCTTCTTTTTTTCCTTTGTTTTATTTCTTAAATTCTACATATGAGTGAAATCATAGGATATTTGTCTTTCTCTGAGTGATTGATTTTGCCTAGAATAATACTCTCTAACATCCATCCATATGCATGGCAAGATTTCACTCTTTTTTATGGGTGAGTAATATGCCATTGTATATGTATAACAAATCTTTTTTCCCCCGCTCAGATCTAGGATTAGGGTTTGGTTAGGGCCAGAATAAGGGTTAGGGTTAGGGCCAGTGTGATTGTATGTGCCTATTATCTTGCAGTTCAGAGACCACTCCAGAGGGATAAGTTTAGGGTTAAGATAGGGTTAGTGTTAGGGTTAAGGTTTAGGGTGTGTGTTTGGGTTAGGATAAGGTTTTTGCTTAGAATAATGCTTTCTACCGCCAACCACATTTTTGTAAAATGGCAAGATTTCATTCTTTTTTATGGCTGAGTAATATTCCTTTGTGTGTGTGTGTGTGTGTGTGTGTGTGTGTGTGTGTGTGTGTGTGTGTGTGTGTACCAAATCTTTTTTCCCCCTCAGATCCTGAATTAGGGTTCTGTTTAGGGTTATAATAAGGGTTAGGGTTAGGGTTAGAGTTAGGGTTAGGGCCAGTGTGAGTGTATGTGCCTATTATCCTGCAGTTCAGAGACCTCTCCAGAGGTTAGATTTAGGGTTAGAGACAGGGTTAGAGGTAGAGTTTAGGGGTTACTGGTAGGGGTAGGTTAAGTTTAGGGTCAGGGTTAAGATTAGGGTTAGGATTTGTGCTTGGCATCCTGCAGTTCAGAGACCTCTCCAGAGAATAAACCCTCAGACTTCCGTTAGGTTGAAAATAAACATGACAATCATCCACCAAGCTGAGGTAAAGAGGGGATTTAACCTTCTAAATACTCTACTTTATTTTTTTAAAGATTTTATTTATTTATTTGACAGAGAGAGACACAGCGAGAGAGGGAACACAAGCAGGGGGAGTGGGAGAGGGAGAAGCAGGCTTCCCGCTGAGCAGGGAGCCCGATGCGGGGCTCGATCCCAGGACCCTGGGACCATGACCTGAGCCGAAGGTAGACGCTTAACGACTGAGCCACCCAGGTGCCCCCTAAATACTCTACTTTTTAAGAGAAGTTTTTATTTAAATTCCAGTTAGTTAACGTACAATGTAATATTAGTTTCAGGTGTAGAATTTAGTGATTCAACACTTACATACAACATCTGGTGCTCATCACAGCAAGTGCCCTCCTTAATCCCCATCACCTATTTCCCCCATCATGTCACCCACCTCCCCTCTGGTAGCCATCAGTTTGTTCTCTCTAGTTAGGAGACTCCACCTTGAAATTCTTAATAATGTTTTGATAAGTGTTCCTACATTTTTATTTTTCACTGGGCCTGTAGCTCACAAATTTGGTAGCCTGTCCTGGCTGTGGATGATACCATCCATATGGCAAGATAGTGATCAACAGTGTTTCACCTGAAAGTTGCTAGGCCATAAATTTGGTTAATCCCATAGTGGGAATCCCAGCAGCTCTGCAAAGGGTCCAGGCGTAGACATTGGCGCTGGCTAGTACCTTCAGAGAAGGGCAGCTGCTAGGACTAAGTTAGGGAGATGGGTGTCGGCAGAACTGGTGATCTCACTCTTAAATATTTGCCAGTTGGCTTTCTGGGCCGATACTGTCTGCTTGGAGCAAGTGTTTCTCACTGGCCAGCATGCCAGTGTCATATGCCTGCAAACCCTTCCATTTGTCATTCTTGAAGTATGTCTTGTACTTTGGGTCTGGGTGCTTAGGTTCTTCCTTGAAGGCTGTCATGGACCAGGTTAGACACTGCTTAGGCTGCACATCTAGGAAATCTAGGGAAATGTAGGTATTAAGGGAAGACTCACAGCAGGAAAGGTGTTTCCGTAGAGTTATTTAGCAGTTGCAAAGCCCCAGTGGAGGGGAGATAGTACAGTCTGGAGAGAAACCAATCTCAAAATCTGGGAGAGCTCAGAGTACTTATTTGGTTGAAGGGACAAGGCAGGCACCTAAATTGGCATCAAGATTGGTGGACAGGTGAATAAAGAGATGGAACCAGGAAGGAGGGGTGGCCTACTTTGGTGTGATGATTTAGGAAACTAGTATATGGAAGGGTTTTCCTTTTAGGTGAAGCCTGGTGTAGCAATCCAGAGTGAAAGAAGCTCATTAAAGGTCCCACAAAAGGGTGGACAGTAGAGGGTGTGATGGTCATTTTGTTTGCCTTCAGGTCTGTTACCCACTCTTTACCACCGACTCTGTGGCCTGGAAGGCTGACCTCTCTAGAACCCATCACCTGGGCTCCCTTGCTCTCTGGCTTGCATGGTACTCAGTCACTAGGAGGCTCCAGCAGGAGATAGGAGGGCAGATGGGAGACAAGTCTGACCCCTCCTTGCTTGGCCGTATTTTCTGGCTACAGCCAAGCCATTCTCCTTCCACTACTCTGTGTCCACTTGCTTCTAGCTACCCCCTTCCCCCACTCATCACACTTTCAGGCCTTGGCTGGTGCTGCTTTTTCCTTTGTCGATAGTCCTATTGTTGCTGCTAGTGTCACAGCTTCCCTTAACCCTTCTCTGGCCTCTAGAACAGCCTCTTCATTATAAAGTTTCTTCAAGAACCCATTTTTGGGACTTCTTTTCTTGCCAGGACCCTGACCAATACAGAAATTTCTACTGCATCTGTGTCCACGCTTTTGCTACTCTCTTCGTTCAGCACTGCTCAGGATAACCGCAGACCATCTTGCTTTCCTGGCTTACGTGTCAGTGTTTTCCAAGGTCGAGGCAACAGCAGTGTGGTTCTGTGGCTGGAGCACAGCACTGGAGGCCCAAGGCTGGCTTCTGGTTCCAGGCTCTGAACACGTGGTTGTGGGTCTTTGGGTCTTTTTCTCAAATTCTTTTTAGCTTTACTTCTGTCTTTGGCAAGAGGGGCATAATAATGCCCTCTAAGTACAAGGCAGTGGTAAAGCTCAGATGAACTATTTGTAAAATGTATAAGTGAATTTTTAATTTGCGGTCATGATTTCAGCCCATGACAACATTCACTCTCCTGGTCTCAGGAGTACAGTGTGTCTAAAGAGTAAGAATTTGTTGCATTTGATATTGGGATGTCTTTTTATCACGGGTATGAGCGCTGTTTTTGATAATTTGGATACTTTCAAATCTGGTGGGTCATACAATCAGATACAGCACTACAGTATCTATGGAACTAGGCAACAATCGCAGTGCAAACAGTTCTTGTATCTTTCAGATTGTAATTATGCAAGAGTCAAATTTATGTGTGAGATGGAAGAGTAGAAAATGAAGGGCTCAAATTTGGTACATCTGTGTGGCTCTGTTTCACTCCCTGGGGTGGTGGTTCCCAAATGGGGTCCCAGAAGCAGCAGCATCAGCATCACCTGGAACTTTTTAAAGATTTATTTATTTCAGAAAGAGAGAGAGGTAGCAAGAGCAGGGGGAAGAGCTGAAGGGGAAGGCAAGGGAGAATCTTAAGCAGACTCCCTGCTGATCGCAGAGACCCATGTGGGGCTCAATCTCATGACCCGGAGATCATGACCTCAGCTGAAATCAATAGTCAGAAGCTCAACCAATGGAACTACCCAAGCGCCCCTCACCTGGAACTTTTTAGAAATGCAAGTCCTCAGGGCCAGCATTCTGTATTTTTTTTAGAAGCCCTAGGTGCTTCTCTGATGCACACTAAAGCTTGAGAACCATTGTCCTAGGGGGAGAGGCTTTGCCAGATCTGAAGTACCTCCCACACGTGGCCAGCAAGTGAAGAAAAACCCACTACTTGAGAGCGACACTTAGGTATAGACTCAGTGGACTAAGTGAAGTGGGTTGAGTAACTTTGTACTTCCCAAATGGTGTGTGAGGATTTTTGTTTACATGACCTATTTATTTTTCCGCTAAGATATGACACTGACTTACAAGTAATTAAATAAGAGCTTCATACTCATAAACATGGGAGACTCTCATTATAATAATTTGTTTCTATATTAGTTTGGCTATAATATGGGTCAAATGACAATATCTGAAAACATAATTACTCAAATAATTGGTTTAAAAACCCAATTAGTTGGGGCGCCTGGGTGGCTCAGTTGGTTAAGCGACTGCCTTCGGCTCAGGTCATGATCCTGGAGTCCCGGGATCAAGTCCCACATCGGGCTCCCTGCTCAGCAGGGAGTCTGCTTCTCCCTCTGACCCTCTTCCCTCTCGTGCTCTCTCTCATTCTCTCTCTCTCTCAAATAAATCAAATTTTAAAAAATTAAAAAAAACCCCAATTAGTTGGTAAGGCAAGTTTTTTGTTCTCCAAGTCAGCTTTTAAGAATAGGTTTTTAAAAATAATAATTCTTTATATTTACCTCCAGTTGGACTCATTCATTTACTCCTATAAGATTCTGTGAGGCAGGGTCAGGTAAGTGGCTGCCTACTTTATATGCAGATCATCAGTGTAGGTTCAGAAATAGAATTCATCATATATTTCATGGTAATTTTGGAGTTAAAGTAGTTCAAATTCTAAACCTGCTTCTGATGTCCCTGTCACTGTGTATCTCGAAAAAAGTCATTGAGCCTCTTTTTTTTTTTTATCTACAAAATGATGAGGATAGAGGCATATACAATGCCTAGCCCAGGGTATGGTTCGTTTTATTGTAGCTAATATAACTAGTCATTTTATTGATCATCATTTTTTCTTTTATTTAACAGCTGGACGCATTTGCTCATTTTTTTATGAAAGATGGTTGTAAGACATTGAAATTTTTGTACCAGGAAGGAGATATCCCTGGCCTTGGTAAGGATGTTTTATGAGGGCAATGTGCTGGCTATTAGTTAATGAATGTTAAGGGGCAGCATATCTTTTCTCTTATAAATAGATACATATTTATAAATTTTATATATTTACATAGAAGTATATTTATAAAGAAAATTTATCAAATAAGCTTATGTGTGGAAAAGAGTGTTTTTTTTTTTTTAAGATTTATTTGAGAGAGAGAGAGCATGTGCGAGCAGGGAGGGGCCAAGGGGGAGGGAGAGAGGATTTCAAGCAGACTCTGTGCTGAGCATGGAGTCCCATATGGGGCTCAGTCTCACAATCCTAAGATCATGACCTGAGCCGAAATCAAGAGCTGGATGCCCAACTGACTGAGCCACCCAGGTGCCCAGATAAAAAAGTGTCTTAAAAATAATACTTCTTCAGCCCAAATATATATGTCAGGCACTACTATAATATAAGGAGAAACCATACTTACAGAAATCATTGGTATCTCCTGGTGGATACATGTTTTCACTAGAATTTAATTCCATTTTCCCTGAAACAGGTGGAGCCATTTTGCACACAGGTTCTCAGGTGACCAGTAATAGACAGGAAACTATGTGAGAGCTCAGCGGCTGTCCCAGTGGTCTTGGGTCAGCATCTTGTCTGCGGTAGCTGTCAGTTGGAATATTTGGCTTCCTTACTATTTGCAGGATTCCTAAAATAATTAACACTTTACCAGGATGTGAAACTTTTGTCTTGATAACCAGGTGCATGGGCCATCCTTTTGGTTTTAGACTACTTATCTTTGAAGTTTTATGGATTGTCCCTCCTATTGGTTCTTTCTCATTTTTCTCCTCTGCTGCCTTTAGCTGAGGTTCATATCTCATGCCTGCCCTAGTATTCTAGATTGAAAGCCTGTAGCTCTGAAACCAGATTCCCTCTCTGAAATTCACACTGCTTATTCCTTTAAAAGTAAATCTTTTATTCAGTTGTGTATATATATATATATACATATATATATACACATATATATGTATATATATACACACCACATCTTTATCCATTCATCTATGGACGAAAACTTGGGTTGCAGCTATAGAAAGGAATGAAATCTTGGGGCGCCTGGGTGGCTCAGTTGGTTAAGCATCTGCCTTCAGCGCTCAGGCCGTGATCCCAGGGTCCAGGAATCGAGTCCCACATTGGGCTCCCTGCTTGGCAGGGAGTCTGCTTCTCCCTTTCCCTCTTCTTTTCCCCCCTGATCTTGCTCTCTCTCTCTCAAATAAATAAATAAAATCTTAAAAAAAAAAAGAATGAAGTCTTGCCATTTGCAACAACATGGGTGGACCTAGAGGGTATAATGCTAAGTGAAATAAGTCAGTCAGAAAAAGACAAATACCATAGGATTTCACTTATATGTGGAATTTAAGAAACAAAACAAAGGAACCAAGAAAAAAAGAGACAGACAAATCATAAAACCAGCCCCTTAAATACAGAGAACAAACTGGTGGTTTCTAGAGAGGAGGTGGGTGGAGGACTGTGTGAAATAGATAAAGGGGGTTAAGAGCACACTTAACTTGGTGAGCACTGAGAAATATATAGAATTATTGAATCATTACATTGTACACCTGAAACTAATTTAACACTGTATGTCATCCCTCAGTAAAAATTCCGAAAAGTAAACCTTTCATTGTGCTCCTAGTTATTGGATTGCCTCCAAAACCCTCATTTCTCTGCTAAGGCCCATTATAACCTGGATACACAGTGTTCCTTTAGCCTGTGCTCCTATTCTTGCAGACATGAATTTGCTGCTCCCTTTAAGCCAGTCTCTTCCTTGTTTTCTGGACATTCCAGGGTCATATCTGTGCCCTTTGCTCTGCCCTCCTGACTCTCTCAGAATGCCTTTTTTCTCTATACCCAGCCAAATCCTACCCCTTCGGATCACCTCTGACATTCTCTTTTCTACAGAGCCTGCCCAGGGTGTTCCAAACCCATCCATCACTTTTCTCCAAACTCCTCCTGTCTCATTTAAAGTTTGCATTGTGAAAAACAGCACTTGATTATGTTCTTCTATTTTCACTTAATTCTTTAATATAAGAAAATACCTACAATGAGAAGAGAAATAAAAACCACCCACATTCTCAGCCATTTGGAATAGGCACTGTTAATTCCTTGATGAATATTCCTCTATAACTTCTTTGCCCCTCCCCTTTTATTTGGAGAAAGGGCGGGAGGGAGGAAAAGAGAGAGAGAAAGTCATGTATGTGTATAGAGTGTGTGTGCATATATATACATGTATACATAGAGCTGGATCCCTTTTTGTAATATGTAGATATTATGCTACAACCTGGGATCCAACTCTACATGTTGTTTTTTTATTTTTATTTTTTTTAAAGATTTTATTTATTTATTTGACAGAGAGAGACACAACGAGAGAGGGAACACAAGCAGGGGGAGGGGAGAGGGAGAAGCAGGTTTCCTGCTGAGCAGGGAGCCTGATGCGGGCTCGATCCCAGGACCCTGGGATCATGACCTGAGCCGAAGGCAGATGCTTAACGACTTTGCCACCCATGCACCCTCTACATGTTATTTTTATGGTGGCTTTTAAAATTTGATAATATTCTCTTTTTCATGCCACTAGATACATTTTTTACAATTAACTTTTAAAGAGCTGCATTGTATTTCATTAGGCTACTATATTATTTTTAAAAAACTTACCTCTTATTATTAGAAATTAGGTTATTTACAACTTTTTGCTCTTTTAAATAATGCTTCAGTGATTATCACTGAGGCTAATGTGGATTAGGAAGACTTTAGGAAGAATTTGCAGGAGGGGAATTGACAGAAGAAAAGATATATATATATATATATATTATATATATTTTTTAAGAGAGAAAGAGAGAGCCTGTGTGCATGAGGGGAGTGAGGGGTAGAGGGAGAGGGAGAGAGAGAATCCCAAGCAGGCTCCACACTCAGCACAGAGCCCAAGACTGGGCTTAATCTCACAATACCGAGATCATGACCTGAGCTGAAATCAAGAGTTGGAGGCTTAACCGACTGAGCCACTCAGTTGCCCCAAGATAGGTATATTTTTAATTATTATTTTGCTACCTAGAAAAGTTACACATTTATTAGCTTGGTAAATATTCCACTACCTGTCTTTCTTCTGTGCATCTGTTTATATATAAATCCTTATTATCATTTAAAAATGTGATCATGTAATACACTTTATTCTAGATTTGAGTTTTGCATTTGACAGTATAGCCCAGACATTTTCTCTGTCATTATATATAAATTTACCTCATTTTAAAAATGCTGTACAGGGGTGCCTGGGTGGTTCAGTTGGTTGAGCATGTGACTCTTGATTTTGGCTCAGGTCATGATCTTGGGGTCCTGGGATTGAGCCCTGCATTGGGCTCCCTTCTCATTGGGGAGTCTGCTTGACCCTTTCCCTCTACCTCTGCCTCCACTTGTGTTCTCTCTCTCTCTCTCTCTCAAATAAATAAATATTTTTTTCAAAAAGCTTTAAAAATGCTGTCAGTATTCCATAGTATAGCTGCATTGTAAGTTTTAGAAACCATTCCCCTGTTGATGGGTGTACCGAATATGTAGATGTATACAGAATATGTTTAGCTGTAGGTACTGGAAGTCCTAATAGTGTCTTAAACAAAGAGGGGATCTATTTTTCTTTCATAACAAGGTGGGCAGTGGCTGGCAATGGTTCAAATGCTCAGTATTGTCATCAGAAACCTAGATTCTTTTTTTCTTCCTATTCTGTCATTTTTAAATGTTGGCTTTTGTGTTCATGTTTGCCCCATACGGTTATAAGATGAAGCTCTAGACATCACATCCATGTTCAAGGTGCTTGTGGGAAAGGGCCTTACCTCTCCCCGTTATCAGGAAATCATAAGCTTATCTTATGTCTTATCAGCCAGAACTGTGTCATGTGGCTACCATAGGGGTTAGGGAGGCTGAGAAAGCAGTCGTCTCCTTGGGGATGTACACATTGCTGGATGAGACAATGGGTTTTCTTATCAAGGAAAAAGGAGAGGGAGGTTATTAAGGGTAGAGGTACCTCTCTGTCCCAACCTCCATGAATGGGCATTTGAGCACTTAGATACTGTGTATCACTGTTCTTTGGTTGTAGCCAACAGCAATAGACTCTGGCTTACATAAGCAAAAAAAAAAGTCTGGGCTGTTCACAAAATTGAACTAGTTAAACCACTTGGCCTTGGGAAGGACAAGAATAGAGCATTTCCACAGATTTCAGGAGAGTTTCCTTAGGATTCATCACTAGATTGACATCCCTCCAGTCCCCTTTTACCTTTGTGTGCCTCCAGGCAGGATTGACATTCTTGCAGAGGGTCTGATCGTCTCATTTGCACATGCCCACCACAGCAGGGCCCTGAGACTGGTGTCCTCCAGAATCACGGGACAGGAGGCATCCCCCACACCCAAAGGAGGGAAGGCTGGGAAGACAAAATATTTTCATGGTTTCGGGATGGGGATTTTAAAATTTCTTTTATCATATTTTAAGTTATTGTGAATAGGAAGACAGCTAAATTTTGCTTATTAATAGTACAACCAACCGTCTAACAAAATTATATTTTTAATAGTTTTTAAAATTAAATGATTAATTTTCACTGAAATCAGGTTGAGGAAGAATTTAGTATAACTTGGGGGCTATAAGTGTATTCACTAGGGGAATAAATCCTCTCTGGGGAGTCAGTGAAGGCTTCTAAGAGACTTGGGCTTTAGCCGAGATCTGAAAGATAAGTAGGAATTGGGGAGGCAAAGGGTCGGAGATGGGGTAGAACAGTCTGTATGAAGACCCTGCCTGAGGCGAGGCCAAAAGGAGAAAAAGTGCAGAACTCAGGGAAAGGTAGCAGGGGAGGCTGCACTTCAAGTATTCCAATTAGTGATGTCTTTTTGCAGACAAAAAATTTATTACAATCATCAAAAATTCCTTACAGTAAAGTGAAGCAAGAAACAATGCTGTAAGATCCATAGTCATTTATCACAGTCGATCCATTATGTGATCACACACTACATTCTTGACTTTTGTTTTCAGAGTGTGGTCGAACTATTGCTGGAGCAACCAAAGGGGGGAAAATGATGAGATTATATATAGACAATGCAGCCCCGGAGAAACTAAAAGGATTATGTGTATTTTTTGTTCGCTGTCACAATGATATTGCTATAAATATTAAAAATATTCATGAGGTATGTTTGCATTTTTTTCAAATATATAGTTAAATTTTTTCCAGCTTAATTGAGATGTAACTGACATAAAATATTGGAAGTTTTAAGCTGTATATAACATGTTGATTTAATACACTTATATTTTGCAAACTGATCACCACTGTAGCATTAGATGATACTCCATCATCTCACCTAATTACCTTTTTTTGTTTGTTTTTGGTGATGACATTTAAGGTGAATTGTCTTAGCAACATTCGAGGATATATTAGTATTACCTATAATCACCATGCTGTATGTTAGATCCCCAAAACTTATTCATTTTATAAAAAGTTTGATTGCTTTGACAAACATTTCCTGATTCCCCCTACCCAACAGCCCTTGGTAATCAACATTCTACTCTCTGATTGACTTAATTCGCTTAGCATAATACCCTCTAGTTCCATCCACATCATTGCAAATGGCAAGATTTCATTCTTTGATGGCTGCATAATATTCCATTATATATATATAATATATATAATAAATATATATTTTCCACATAAAGTATGTATATATATATACACCACATATTCTTTATCTATTCACTTGTTGATGGACATCTAGGCTCTTTCCATAGTTTGGCTATTGTGGACATTGCTGCTATAAACATTGGGGTGCACGTGCCCCTTCGGATCACTACATTTGTATCTTTGGGGTAAATACCCAGTAGTGCAATTGCTCGGTTGTAGGGTAGCTCTGTTTTTCAACTTTTTGAGGAACCTCCATACTGTTCTCCACAGTGGCTGCACCAGCTTGCATTCCCACCAATAGCATAGGAGGGCTCCCCTTTTTCCGCATCCTTGCAAACATCTGTCATTTCCTGACTTGTTAATTTTAGCCATTCTGACTGGTGTGAGGTGATATCTCATTGAGGCTTTGATTTGTATTTCCCTGATGCCGAGTGATGTTGAGAACTTTTTCAAGTGTCTGTTGGCCATTTGGATGTCTTCTTTGCACAAATGTCTGTTCATGTCTTCTGCCCATATTTTGATTGGATTATTTGTTCTTTGGGTGTTGAGTTTGATAAGTTCTTTATAGATTTTGGATACTAGCCCTTTATCTGATATGTCATTTGCAAATATCTTCTCCCATTCTGTCGGTTGTCTTTTGGTTTTGTTGACTGTTTCCTTTGCTGTGCAAAAGCTTTTTATCTTGATGAAGTCCCAATAGTTCATTTTTGTGCTTGCTTCCCTTGCCTTTGGTGATGTTTCTTGAAAGAAGTTGCTGCGGCTGAGGTCAAAGAGGTTGCTGCCTGTGTTCTCCTCAAAGATTTTGATGGATTCCTGTCTCACATTTAGGTCTTTCATCTATTTTGAGTCTGTTTTTGTGTGTGGTGTAGGGAAATGGTCCAGTTTCATTCTTCTGCATGTGGCTGTCCAATTTTCCCAACACCATTTGTTGAAGAGACTGTCTTTTTTCCACTGGACATTCTTTCTTGCTTTGTCAAAGATTGGTTGACCATAGAGTTGAGGGTCCATTTCTGGGCTTTCTATTCTGTTCCATTGATCTATGTGTCTGTTTTTGTGCCAGTACCATACTGTCTTGATGATGACAGCTTTGTAATATAGCTTGAAATCGGGCAACGTGATGCCTCCAGCTTTGTTTTTCTTTTTCAACATTTTCTTGGCTATTCGGGGTCTTTTCTGATTCCATACAAATTTTGGGATTCTTTGTTCCAGCACTTTGAAAAATGTCATTGGAATTTTGATCGGGATGGCATTGAAGGTATAGATTGCTCTGGGTAGCATAGACATTTTAACAATGTTTATTCTTCCGATCCATGAGCATGGAATATTTTTCCATCTTTTTGTGTCTTCTTCAATTTCTTTCATGAGTGTTCTGTAGTTCCTAGAGTATAGATCCTTTACCTCTTTGGTTAAAACCTAACCAAATTCCAGAGGTATCTTATGGTTTTTGGTGCTATTGTAAATGGAATTGTTTCTCTAATTTCTCTTTCTACAGTTGTGTTGTTAGTGTATAAGAAAGCAACTGATTTCTGTGCATTGATTTTGTATCCTGCCACATTACTGAATTGCTATATGAGTTCTAGTAATTTGGGGGTGGGGTCTTTTGGGTTTTCCACATAAAGTATCATGTCGTCTGCGAAAAGAGAGAGTTTGACTTCTTCTTTGCCAATTTGAATACATTTTATTTCTTTTGTTGTCTGATTGCTGTTGCTAGGACTTCTAGTACTATGTTGAGCAGTAGTGGCAAGAGTGGGCATCCTTGATGTGTTCCTGATCTTAAGGGAAAGGCTCTCAGCTTTTCCCCATTGAGGATGATATTCGCTGTGGGTTTTTCATAGATGGATTTTATGAACTTGAGGAATGTTCCCTCTATCTCTGTACTCTGAAGAGTTTTAATCAGGAAAGGATGTTGTATTTTGTCAAATGCTTTTTCTGCATCAATTGAGAGGACCATATGGTTCTTCTCCCTCCTCTTATTAATGTGTTCTAACACATTGATTGATTTGTGAATGTTGAACCACCCTTGCATCCCGGGGATAAATCCCACTTGGTTGTGGTGGATGATCCGTTTGATGTATTGTTGGATCCTATTAGCTAGGATTTTGTTGAGGATTTTGGGATCCATATTCATCAGGGATATCGGTCTGAAATTCTCCTTTTTGATGGGGCCTGGTTTGGGGATTAAGGTAATGCTGGCCTCATAGAATGAGTTTGGAAGTTTTCCTTCTGTTTCTATTTTTTGAAACAGCTTCAGTAGAATAGGTATTATTTCTTCTTTGAATGTTTGGTAGAATTCCCCAGGGAATCCATCAGGCCCTCGACTCTTGTTTTTTGGGAGGTTTCTGATCACTGCTTCAATCTCGTTTCTGGTTATTGGCCTATTCAGGTTGTCAATTTCTTCCTGTTTCAGTCTTGGCAGCTTATAGGTTTCCAGGAAGGCCTTCATTTCATCCAGATTGCTCAGTTTATTGGCATATGGTTGTTGATAATAATTTCTAATAATTGTTTCTATTTCCTTGGTGTTAGTCGTGATCTCTCCCCTTTCATTCATAGTTTTATTAATTTGGGTCCTTTCTCTTTTCTTTTGGATAAGTCTGGCCAGTGGTTTATCGATCTTATTAATTCTTTCAAAGAACTAACTTCTAGTTTCGTTGATTTGATCTACTGTGTTTCTGGTTTCTAATTCATTGATCTCTGCTCTAATATTAATTATTTCTCTTCTAATGCGTGGCTTAGGAATCGTTTGGTGCTTTTTCTCTAGTTCTTTAAGGTGTAGAGTTAGTTGGTGAATTCGGGATTTTTCTATTTTTTTGAGTGAGGCTTGGATGGCTATGAATTTCCGCCTTAGGATCGCCTTTGCAGTATCCCATAGGTTTTGGACCGATGTGTTTTCGTTCTCATTGATTTCCATGAATTGTTTAAGTTCTTCTTTGATTTCCTGGTTGACCCAAACATTCTTGAGCAGAGTGGTCTTTAGCTTCCAAGTGTTTGAATTTCTGCCAAATTTTTTCTTGTGATTGAGTTCCAGTTTTAAAGCATTGTGGTCTGAGAACATGCAGGGAATAACCTCAGTCTTTGGTATCAGTTGAAACCTGATTTGTGACCCAGTATGTGGTCTCTTCTGGAGAAAGTTCCATGTCCGCTCGAGAAGAATGAGTATTCTGTTGTTTTGGGGGGGAGCGTTCTGTAAATATCTATGAGGTCCATCTGGTCCAGTGTATCATTCAAAGCTCTTGTTTCCTTGTTGATTTTCTGCTTAGATGATCTGTCCATTGCTGAGAATGGAGTATTGAGGTCTCCTACAATTAACGTATTGTTATCAATATGACTCTTTATTTTGGTTAACAGTTGGCTTTTGTAGATGGCTGCTCCCATGTTGGGGGCATAGATATTTACAATTGTTAGATCTTCTTGTTGGATAGACCCTTTAAGAATGATATAGTGTCCTTCTGTGTCTCTAATTACAGACTTTAGTTTAAAATCTAATTTGTCTGATAGAACAATTGCTACCCCAGCTTTCTTTTGAGGTCCGCTGGCCTGGAAGATGAATCTCCATCCCTTCACTTTCAGTCTGGATGTATCTTTAGGTTCAATATGAGTCTCTTGTAGACAGCATATGGATGGGTCCTGTCTTTTTATCCAATCTGCAACCCTGTGCCATTTTGTGGGAGCATTTAGGCCATTCACATTGAGAGTGATTATTGAAAGATATGAGTTAATTGTCATCATGTTGCCTGTGAAGATGTTGTTTTTATAGATTGTCCCTGTAAATTTCTGTTGTATATCACTCTTGGGGTCTTTCTCCTTTTATAGAACCCACTTTAATATTTTTTGCAGGGTCAGCTTAGGGGTCACATATTCTTTCAGATCCTGCTGGTCTTGGAAGCTCTGCATCTCTCCATCCACTCTAAATGACAGCCTTGCTGGATAAAGTATTCTTGGCTGCATATTCTTCTCATTTAGTACCCTGAATATGTCTTGCCAGGCCTTTCTGGCTTGCCAGGTCTCTGTGGATAGGTCTGACGTTATTCTGATGTTCCTCCCTCTGTACGTAAGGAATCTCTTCCCCCTAACTGCCCTTAAGATGGTTTCCTTGGTTCTAAGATTTGCAAGTTTTACTATTACATGCCAGGGTGTTGGCCTGTTTTCCATGATTTTGGGAGGGGTCCTCTCTGCCTCTAGGACGCAAATGTTTGTTTCATTCCCCAGATTAGGGAAGTTCTCAGCTATGATTTGCTCAAATACATCTTCTAGTCCTCTCTCTCTCCATTCCCTCCGGGATTCCAATTATTCTGACATTGGAAAGCTTCATGGTGTCACTTATTTCTCTGATTCTATTTTCATGGATTCTGAGTTGTTTTTCCCTGGTCTCCTCTTTTCCCTTTTTATCTATTATATTGTCTTCCAGGTCACTTATTCGTTCTTCTGCCTCACTTCCCCTAGCTGTTAGATTATCTAGATTGGATTGGATCTCATTGATAGGATTTTTAAGTTCTGCCAATTCAGTTTTCATTT